CATCTCAGGCTAACAGATCAGCTTTTTCCTTCAACGCTTCCTCCTACCGCCTCAACATATGGAAATTTGAATTTGTTTTTATGTCGACATTTTAGCACTAATTCGTTCATATATAGTATTGATTTGGAAGACTTTGAAGTGGTAAGCTGAAACTGGCATTTGAGGCATTAGGCTTTGTGGTAGAGTGCTCAATATCGAAGATAGGGATAGAGCGTTAATAGAATTAATAATTAAAAATATTTTCAGAATACATTTTTTATTTTAAAGTGATTGGAAGTGATTTAAAGTGATTTCTTTTTGCCATTTATTTGTGGTTAGGATTGAATTTTTATTTGTTTATAGGCTTCTTCAGATCAAAGCGAAAGAAATATTTGTTATTGTTTCGACGTTTTTAGATAGGCTTCTTCAGATCAAAGCGAAAGAAATATTTGTTATTGTTTCGGCATTTTAGATAGGCTTCTTTAAATCAAAGCGAAAGAAATATTTGTTATTTGTTATTGTTACGACATTTTTAGATAGGCTTCTTCAGATCAAAGCGAAAGAAATATTTGTTATTGTTACGACATTTTTAGATAGGCTTCTTCAGATCAAAGTGAAAGAAATATTTGTTATTTGTTATTGTTACGACATTTTTAGATAGGCTTCTTCAGATCAAAGCGAAAGAAATATTTGTTATTTGTTTTTGTTTCGACATTTTTAGATAGGCTTCTTCAGATCAAAGCGAAAGAAATATTTGTTATTTGTTATTGTTTCGACATTTTTAGATAGGCTTCTTCAGATCAAAGCGAAAGGAATATTTGTTATTTGTTATTGTTTCGACATTTTTAGATAGGCTTCTTCAGATCAAAGCGAAAGAAATATTTGTTATTTGTTATTGTTTCGACATTTTTAGATAGGCTTCTTCAGATCAAAGTGAAAGAAATATTTGTTATTTGTTATTGTTTCGACATTTTTAGATAGGCTTCTTCAGATCAAAGCGAAAGAAATATTTGTTATTGTTACGACATTTTAGATAGGCTCCTTCAGATCAAAGCGAAAGAAATATTTGTTATTGTTTCGACGTTTTTAGATAGGCTTCTTCAGGTCAAAGCGAAAGAAATATTTGTTATTTGTTATTGTTTCGACATTTTTAGATAGGCTTCTTCAGATCAGAGCGAAAGAAATATTTGTGTATTTGTGTGTGTGTGCTTTAATATAAAATCGTTGATACTTTTTCGTAAACTGGAGTCCTCCAGTCGGGATGAAAGAACAAAATTGTGTGGCTTTTGTAAAAAGCCGTTTTTTTTTAATTTATGCTGTTTTTTCTTCTCATATATATGTATATATATTTTGTCTGTTTGTTTTGTTTAAATTTGGTTGTGAATCTTTTACCTTCAAACGCTTCTGAAAAATTGTATAGGAATTTGCCTTAAATTCAATGCAGAGCTCAAATTTTGTAGAGGTCATCCAGTGAGGATGGAACTCAATACTTACTTATTAATGGTCAACCAGATTAGCCTCGATATCCATTAGCCAACACCGGGACTATCCATTCTAGGTGCTCCACTATGTAGCCTTATACCATACAAGACTAAAATTACTAAAACGATAATATCGTGTAAAGGGATCTAAATATTTTATACTTGTCTTACATTTGTCAGGTGCGTAATGTAGCTGGCTCTGGCACAAGGCCACTAGAGTGTGACAATTGGGAGGATTGATCTCATTACACTAAGGTCCGGTGCGAGAAGATTGTTAATCAGTAGTCCATAAGGAAAAAATACCTTTATCGGTAATTACGAAAAGTAGATTCAGTTTGACACAAAACTTTTTCCAGGTTCGAACTCACGACTGCGGGCCAATCAGTACAGGAATGAAAGCGTATTACGATAGACAAATCTTCGGTAATTTAAAGGAAAGCATCGTTTTGACTTTATCAGACTCAAACTCATAACTCAAGGGTAATGGTCAGCAATACCAGATTGGCAGCCATTTCCTCATTTCCTCTTGTAACGTATTATTTTTCGTATATATGCGTCAAAAGCCAAAAAAAAACAGACAAATACGAGGGGAGTAACTAGAATTCATGTATACCAGAATGATCGACTTGGAACTATATTAGTAAGACAGCAAGGATAAGAGCTGGCTTAGGAATTCTTTTCGCGAGAGGTACAAAGTTAAAAGACAAATAAACAAAGACAACACTTGGCATCTTGTTCAGCTTAAGTATGCACTCTTTACACGCCACGCCAGACACTCTGTTCCTTTTTTTTACCTTTTAACAATTTCTCTATATTACTATCCACTACTTTTTTAGTCTCAGGCATTTTTATATTTTATTTAACACATCTCCGCAATCACACTCTTACATATCTTTTCACTTTTAATTAAAATCCTTTCATGCTTTTCTCCTCTATCTATCTAGCTATCTCTCTCTCTCTCTCTATATATATATATATATATATATATATATATATATATATATATATATGTGTGTGTGTGTGTGTGTGTGTGTGTGTGTACGTGTGTGTGTGTTTCTGTTTGTGTGTGTAATTCTGTTAATATCTATCTACCCAATTCTGTTAATATCTATCTGTCTCTCGTTATATCTATCTCATTCTGTTGATATCTACCTCATCCTATTAATATCTATCTATAGCTAGCTAGCTATCTCTCTCTCTATATATATATATATATATATGTGTGTGTGTGTGTGTGTGTGTGTGTTTGTGTGTTTGTGTGTGTAATTCTGTTAATATCTATCTACCTAAATCTGTCTCTCGATATATCTATCTCATTCTGTTCATATCTACCTCATCCTATTAATATCTATCTATCTATCTATCTATCTATCTATCACAGCCTGTTAATATCTATCTATATGTTTGTCTATTCCACCTTGTTCATATCTATCTATCTATCTATCTATCTATGTAAATCTGTTCATATGTAACTCTGTTTATATGTAAATCTGTTCATATACAGAGTGCGATGGATGAATTGCGCTGTCTAAATTAAGCAAAAATGAAAATAACACTGATGTCCCATTTTAACAGATAATTTTACCAAAATTGCTCAAAAATATTCTGAAATACTAAAGAGTTTATTCTAAAATCCTTATTGTCTTCCCCACGGCTCCCAGATGACTTCGGAATCTCCTGCAACTGTTCTGGATAGTTAAAAGCATTAGTTCTGTTTCATCTTCAAGCGAATTTTGGAATTTTACAAAATTCGCTTGAAGATGAAATAGACCTAATGCTTTTAATTTAATTATATAATTAAATTTGAAGTTTTTAGCTTCGGTTTTGGAAACATGGTAATTCCTGTGTAGCGAAGAAACCCTATTTTAAATCAGTTAATTTATAATATTTATGCACTGTAAATTTACATTGAGCACTGTTTTGTAAAAATAAAAATATCAATTAAGAACACTAGATTATATATCATATTGTTTTTTTTTTCTTTTATTATTCGCTTGAGGATGAAATGGAACTAATGTTTTTAATTTAATTACAAAATTAAATTTGAAGCTTTTAGCTTCCATTTTTGAAACATGGTTATTACTGTGTAGCGAAAAAAATCATATTTTAAATCAGTTAATTTATAATATTTATGCACTGTAAATTTACATTGAGCACTGTTTTGTAAAAATAAAAGTATCAATTAAGAACACCGGATTATATATCGTACTGTTCTTTCTTTTTATCATAATATATATATATATATATATATATATATATATATATATATATATATATATATATATATATATACCTGCGTAAATTTTATAGGTACACATTATACTTTCGACTGTCTCCCTTTTTTCTCTTTCTCTATCCCTCTTTTTCTTTAACCCCCCTCTATATTTCTCTCTGAGACTTTTCCTGAGATTTTTCTATGTCATTTAATACAACTGCACATTATCTCTTTCCTGATAATTTCACTTTGTGTTCGTGCCCTGGGTAAGACGATAATCTACGTTAAGCCGCAAGGCCTCTGATCAGGAGGTTTTGAGGAACGTGGAACCAACTCTTAATTGCTGGTGTTCTCACGTCCACCCTGATCCGGGGTTGTAGTACCTGTTAGGGTCCCAACTATGGGCAAATAGTTAACTGTTAACAGAAATACATTTTTGAAAAAAGAAATATTACCAGCAATACATTTTTGAAAGAAAAATATAACCAGAAACAGATTTTTGACAAAACGAAATATTACCAGCAATAAAAAATTCTGTCGGCATTAAATATCCCATAAAGCAAAACAACAAAAAAAAAAAACACTTTGTGTTCGTTTCCTACTGACACATTTCTAATTTATCTGTCTAAACAAATAGATATATACTTTTGAGGACAAAGGCATGTGGAGAGCCATGACTGCGCGCGGCCTGAATGGAGCCGGCCAATAGAGGAAGATACAGGTAGATATTCATATCCATATATACGTTTTGATTGCACCCTCTTGTCTGTAGAGCGCAACCACTTGATTGATCACCGCACGACAATGTGCACGTATACGATTCTTCAGCCCAGCCTCAGTCCTCCATGACCGTCTGCAGACATGACACTTGAACTGTCCATCGTTCGAGGTTACCGGCTGAAATACATTTCTTCGCATTCTGGTATGTCTGATCAAATCATTAACCGACTTATATATAAAGCCACAGGTAAAACAGGTTCCGTGGCCGCAAAACTTTCTCGCAAGTTGCTGGATTTTGGCCAAGGCCCATTCGACTTTCGGTAGTTTGTTAAACCTGCTTTCGAGAGATGAAAGCGTTAACATGCATTACACTTCAGTTGCTGTTGGCGGTCTGCGGGCGTCGTTCTTGTGTCTTGTTTTCGACATACATTATACTGGTTCGCATTGAAATATGCCTCTGCTTACAATATAATTTAGATTAATTTAAACTACATACGGGCATATGCATGTTAAAATATTTTGTCTGAACTACACATGAAAATATACGCGAATGCGTTCTTTCTTTACTTCTTTCATTTTGCTTGCGTATCACTTTCTTTCTTTTTATGTATCTCTTCTTTCTTTCTACCATTTTCTCTCTCTCTCTCTCTCTCTCTCTCTCTCTCTCTCTTTCTTTCTTTCTTTCTTTCTGTGTGGCTGTCTTTTTCTTTCTACAAGTTTTCTCTCTTTCTTTCTTTCTTTCTTCTTGTTTTTCTGTCTCTTTCTTTCTTTCTTTCTTTCTTTTGTTTGCCTCTTCTCTCTTTCTTTCTTGCTTTCACTTTTCTTTCTTTTTTGTGTCATTGCTTGTCTCTTTTTTTTTTTTCTTTCTCTTTTTTTCTCTTAGTTCTTTCTTTTACAAGTTTTCTCTCTCTTTCTTTCTTTCTTTCTTCTTGTTTGTCTGTCTCTTTCTTTCTTTCTTTCTTTCTTTTTATGTGCCTCTTCTCTCTTTCTTTCTTGCTTTCACTTGTCTCTTTCTTTTTATGTCGTGCTTGTCTCTTTTTCTTTCTTTTTTCTTTCTACTTCTTTTTTCTCTTAGTTCTTTCTTTCTACAAGTTTTCTCTCTCTTTCTTTCTTTCTTTCTTCTTGTTTGTCTGTCTCTTTCTTTCTTTCTTTCTTTCTTTTTATGTGCCTCTTCTCTCTTTCTTGCTTTCACTTGTCTCTTTCTTTTTTATGTCTTGCTTGTCTCTTTTTTTTTCTTTTTATACTTCTTTTTTCTCTTAGTTCTTTCTTTCTACAAGTTTTCTCTCTCTTTCTTTCTTTCTTTCTTCTTGTTTGTCTGTATCTTTCTTTCTTTTTATCTGCATCTTCTTTTTTTCTTTCTTGCTTTCACTTTACTTGTCTCTTTCTTTTTATATCTTGCTTGTCTCTTTTTTCTTTCAACTTCTTTTTTTTTCTCTTACTTCTTTCTTTCTTCAAGTTTTTTAAATCTTTTTTCTTACATTCTTTTTTCGTTCTCTCTTTCTTGCTCTTTGTCTATCTCTTTCTTTTTGCGCGTCGGCCTCGTCTTTCTTTCTTTCTTTCTTTTTTCCTTCCTTTTTGTCTGGCTCTTTCTTTCTTTCTCTCCGTTTTCTGCTTTCATTCTTTCTTTCGTTTGGCCGCCCCCTTTTACTTTCTCTCTACCTCGTCTTTCTTTCATTCTTTTTATTTATTCATTCATTTTTAGCTAGCTGTGTACTTCGCAGTAGCGAATGATTAACAATCTGATCTCATAGATCATTAGTAACAAGTAGTCACCTCAAGCCTGACTGGATGCTCCATATTTCAAACCTTGTGCCAAAACTAATGATCTGTAAGAACGTATACATTTCTGTAATAAAACTAATATCTGATGACTAGACACCGAAATATATATATATATATATATATATATATATATATATATATATATATATATATATAAACACGAATGTCAGTTTGTCGCAATTTTTCAACTTTGCTTCTAGAGCCTTAGCCCAACATATCATACCATTTTGGAATGAGGCCGACTCTGTGAGCAAATAAAATAATTCCGGAGCAAATTCGGACCCGCAATCCTGAAATTTTAGATTTCCTAGTTTTCATTACTGCGATTGTTTTCGGATTCCGCCATGTTGGCTTCTACTGATAAAACCAATTAAAGGGACATAACTCTCTAACTTTTAATAGTTCCTGTTCAAATGAATGTTCTCGAAGTACAGCGTTTCAAAATGAAATTGTCCGTGTTTTCAAATTTACCCCAAGAGGCTGTAGTCCAACATATCATACCATTTCGAAATCAGGCCGATTCTGTGAGTAATTAGATCCGGATCCGTAGTCTTTACATTTAGGATCCCAAGTTTTCATTACTGCGACTGTTTTCAGCAATGTTTTGCGACGAATTTTTTGAAGGATAACAATATTTATAACTTCTAATTAAATTTAGGAATAATCGAAATTAATTGCGAATTCCAGCGAAAGTCACCTATGAAATAAAAATAATTGTTTTTACGGAAATTAAGGACCTACGTACACCAAATTCTCTTTAAATTAAGTGGCGGCTGAAGAATTATCGTTGAACTTTTAACAGGAAAGCTTAAATATTAATGCAATACTTAAATGCAGCATCAATTTTAAGTTCTTCTGTAGTTTATTGTTGCCTATCGCATGCGACAGCAGTATGCCTCTTAAAGAAATCTCTGCCAACAGAGGACCAGATTGCAACCAAAAGAGCCAAGGGTGCAATGAGGGAAAGAAAGTCCCGTGCAAATCAGAAACTAGATTCGGGACTCTCAAACTCCTGAACAAGAACAAGCCAAGAACCCTCAGCAGGAGCTAGCTTAAGATAGTGTGTATATATATATATATATATATATATATATATACAGCTTGATGTGTGTGTGTGTGTGTGTGTGTGTGTGTGTGTGTGTGTGTGTGTGTGTGTGTGTGTGTGTGTGTGTGTGTGTGTGTGTGCAAATATGTAGAAAAACAGGAAAAAATACGTTAGGTAAATAATCCGGAGTTCTTTAGTATTTTTGTTTTTGTTTAAAAAAAAAAACAAAAAAACTGTGCTCCATACAGAAGTAGAGCTTAAATTATAATTATTTTTTTTTAAATATGATTCCTTCGATACATAAGAGTTCTCATGTTTCAAAAACATGAGCCAAAATCCTCAATATAATTATTGAAATTAAATTGAATTAAAGTATCAAGTCCTGTTTCATCCTCAAAATTTCAATGATTATATTAACGTTTTCGGCACTCGTTTTTGAAACATGAGAACTCTTATGTAGCGAAGGAATCATAGTTTTTTTTAAATAATTATATATATATATATATATATATATATATATATATATATATATATATAATAGAAAAGACTAAAATGCCAACCAACCTCGCAACCTGGGTTTCGACCGTAATGTCTCCTCTGGCAAGTGGAGGTACTTCCAATTTCCTGGGGAGAACTTACGGTCGAAACCCAGGTTTAGAGGTTGATTGGCATTTTAGCCTTTTCTTAAATATCTTAGCTCTCCATGTTTGATTTTGAATTTTGTACTGAGGACTTGTTGTCTATACCTTTTAGGCGCGGCTGTTTTCAGTCTTCCTTTTACATTTCTATCCGTATATATATGGCCGAGTGGTCACAACGTTCGCTTTCTAACCATGAGACCCGGGTTCGAATCACACCATGGTCGATTTGTCAGCAAGGAGACTTCCTGATGTTATCGGTCTGGTATCGGGGCGGGGGGAGGATTTGAGCGCGCCGGTGTTGTTCAGATTGTTGATTATTCTTGATAAAACGCTCCCTCCTGTAAGTAAGGTCTGCTCAGTATAGTTGCAGTATACACCACAAGTTGGCTCTGTGGGTGTTGAACAAACACAAATGTGCCTGAGCGAGAGTCTGTAATAGGGATTGTCTACCCACCCTAGTAGACGGGTATCCTCGAATACGATTGGCCAGCTATTATATATATATATATATATATATATTACAACACCAAATAATATATATGTTAAACTTATTTAAGTAAGTTTATGTATGTGTGTGGGTTCACTTTCTCTCGCTTTACCCTTAACAACCTTCCTCTATTTCTATGCACTACTTTTCCCTTAAGCATTATTATATTTTAATTAACATACCTAATCTCTTTACCTACCTTTTCGTGTTTAATTCTATTGATATAATTCTTATCTACCTCCCTATTCATCTATTGCAATCTGTCCATAAGTCTCTTCCTATCTATCTTTGTCTTTTCAAATCTATCTATCTATCTATCTATCTATCTATTTCAATCTGTTCATATCTACCATTTATATACGTATATCAGGTGACTTTTGAAGACATTATTTTGAAGCTAAGTCTAAGTAAGGGTCGTATCATACACGAGATATAAACTTAGTGTATGTATTGCTGACCCTGACTAAACCTTTGACCAAATATATATATATATATTTATATATATATTTATATGCTTTTACGCTTTTATGCTTTTATGCATATATTTATATGCTTTTACTGTAGTCAAATTAGCTTCAAAATTAGGTCTTCAAAGGTTGCATGATATATACGGTTTCTATCTCAATTTGTCGCCATCTTCTGTGCGCATGCGCGTACACTGTAAATCAGTGACGTATAGAATTTGGTAACGAATGCATAGACTTCAGACGCCATCACGAATCTCTCTTGCTAAATCTTGTTATAAAGAGATATTTTCAAATGTCCCATTCTTCCACTTTGATGCTTAATAAAATATATATATATATATATATATATATATGTGTGTGTGTGTGTGTGTGTTAAGTCACTACAAACACAAAAATTTGGCAAACTAATTCTCAAACAGCTATATTTTCTGTTTTTTTACACAGTCGTTGTAAAATGTTTCCCATATGATGATTTTCTAAGCGTAGCCTAGATGTGGCACAAGGCCGAAAGTGTGGAGCGCCCAGTGTGGATCAAACTCGCTACTCATTCGTAATTGATCGAGGGAGGCAAGCTTACTAACCATTACACCATATCGAAGTGCCCAAATGTCGGCTTACGAAATGTGACACAAGGCCGAAAATATATTAGGCTCCAGGTGAAGATCGAACTCACAACTCACTCGTAAATGTTCTAGCACTACAAGCTTGTTAACCATTACACCACGCTGAAGTGCCCCACAATGAATTTCTAAGCGTTTCTTAGATGTGATAAAAGGCCGAGTGTATGGGGCATCCAGTGAGGATCGAACTCATTTCCTCAGTCGTAAATGATCTAGCAGGAACATGCTTGCTCACCATTAGACCACGTCGAGGTGCGCAAATGCTTCCCATATGTGATGTCCCGCAATAAATTCCCAGACAGACCCGCAGACGATGTTACGTTTTAAAAAGAAAAAGATCTTGTCAAATAAACATTCTATTTACCTCGTTCTATATTGAGTCCGCGGTTCTCTCATTTTGCTGGTGAAGCATTGTCTACTATTTTGAGACATCCTACATAACTCCAATAAACGTATTTTATTTCAACTCGCTAGAGGCAAATAATAAACATAATCATTTTGCAATGAGGAAATGTGGTTCCAATACAAAAAAATATTTCCTTTTTTTTTCTGTCTCTTTTGCA